ATATTGTTAAATCTTAAAAATTATGAACATTGATCTAAGAATCCAAAATAGACAATAGGTATACAATATACATACATATAGGATCATTCAAATTAAATTAAATTAAATTAATAAAGAATTATCATACTAAACGTCTAAACTCATTATCAACAAAATAACAAAAATAATTGCTGGTATAAATTCCAATATCGTGATGTAGGTAGTTGTATATACACAGTTAGGAGGTATGTGATATAATATATTATAGGTAAGGTTACCATCAACAGGATAAAAAGTAGGTACTCTTTTTCAACCTTTTAAATTTGAATATTATTTTGCGAGTGGAATTACTACGGAAAACAAAAAAAATTACATATTTTACCACGATTAATAATTATAAATCCCAATATCGGAACAATATTATGCACAAAACTGTACCTTCATTAGTTACAATTATACATGTATATTTAATATTTATATGTAGGTACCTATGGGGACTAATTAAAAACACATATTTCAATTTTTTTTCACACTTCGTAAAGAATCCAAATATTTATTAATAGAGTTACGACAGATAATATTTACTATTTAAACAAACTATAGTGTCTAAAAGGAAATTTTTTTTCATACTTTTTTTCTAATCTATTTTTCTGGTAAAACAACTTTTTCGAATAGTTGGCATCTGATAACCCTATATTGTGAAGGTTTATGACGTATATTTTGAGTAATATTGTTTTGAAGTAGTGTATTTTCAAAAAACTATACAGTATTTATAAAATATGGTTTTTTCTATATGCAGCGCAATATCGAAAAAATAATAATTGAAGTCGATGATTGTGGTGTACACCTATTGTACGCCATCTACTCTGAGAGAATATAAAGGATATAATTTAATAGAGACGCCCTCGAGTACTCTTCTCATCAATAATCTTCGGGAAGAAATTTAATAAAAAAAAAAATGAAATGTTTTAATTCAAATCATTGGAAAAAATGTCTGTACCCATAAAATACACACATGTAGTAGACATAATTTATATCATGCTCAGATTCCTGTGCATGAAGGTATACGGCGGTGCCGTAATCGAATATCGTTTCGAACAATATTCGCCGACACAAAAACACAAAAACACTAAAACATAACAACCAGTGTTGTACCTTTAATACGGGGTCGTTAAACGTAGGGGGACGCGCGTTTTATTTATATTATAACATTATTGTGTTCAAATAATTGTCAGATCGGTTCGTGTACCCTATATAATATTAAACAATCAAAAAGCAGTAACTGCAGCACTTACCTGCGGTATTCTCGCGAATGGACGATATTATTATTATTATAACCGACGTCGAAAAAAAAACGCACTAACCACCGAGACAATTGAATCAATTATCGGGGGAAATAATGAAAACGAAAAATCCTCGTCGAAACGCGCACGTAAAACACAAAAACTCRAGAACGCGCGCGAAAACGACCCGCTCGGCAACCGGTCCGGCACGTATACTGATGTGCCGAACTGCCGACGACGGGCAACGACCACAGACGAATCGGTTTCGCCGCCGCTGCGCTGCTCCTCATCGCGGCCTGTGGGTGCCCTCCGCCACTTACTGCCAACCGAACGAACCGGTACTCGAGCACGGGCCATCTCGGAGACTCCAGTTGCCAACGCGACGAAACGAAATAACTCGTTTCATCCCTTGCGCGGGTTGGTTGGCGTCACTGCGGGCGAACGCGTCGAAGAACGCATTCCGGGGGGAACCCGGTTTTCCTCCCAAACAGCGGCCAGCCGCCGCCGCGGTAGGTACTCTAGAGTCGAGTAGACGTCGCGCGTCGTTACGAGGACGAGGATGAGATGCCCGCATTACGTATTGTCCCCCGTCTTACAAGTGCGTAACATGACAAATTGAGCGCTCAGCAGATCACGTTCACAGCTCCATTGATTAAAAATTTTTAGTTGATTGACTGAAAATCGAGATATAGTTATTTTAAAATTGTAAATTTTTTGTACATCATAAAATACTTATAAMTCGCTTCAAAATTATAATTCTGTAAAAAAAMCCATGAGGTCGTCTAAGTAATACTCTTACCTTTAAATTTTAAAAGAGGTCAATTCACTCTAATTTTTAAGCTAACGGAGCTAAACGTGATCTGCTGAGCGTAAAATTTGCTTTTTGTTACACTCTCGTAAGACGTAGACAACATACGCRAGTAACACATTCTCTTACTCGTTACTCGTTAGTACATCTTCGTGACGTGACGTCGCCGTCGCCATGACCTTGTCGGCAGATATGAATGGACGAATTCAATAATAATACGTTTTCGGCCGCAGAGGAATGCGAACCCGTTCGAAACGAATGTGTATATTATAGAACAATATAAAGTATACCCAACGTCGTGCCTGCCGCCTTTAATATTATTATAATCATTATGTTACGGCAGGTTGTGACTCACATGTAGAGTTGTCGTAATGAGCGGCGAACGATTTCGTAGTTCTTAGTGCTTTTTTTCTTCTTTTCTTATGTGGAGAATGAATTGCGTTGAAAATGAACGTGTGAAACTGGTCCAACTCGATGGAACGTGTCTGTATCAAAGTAATATCTGATTATAATACTTTATTACAGAGTTTATCCGAATTTAATCCTTTTCAACAAATAATACATTAATACATGCACTATCCTTTAATCGCATTACTTRAAAACATGTAGGCCTATATAATACTAAGCTCAATGGCTATTAGTTATAATGGTAAGTTGTTCAACTCCTCAAAGCCTCTTCACTACGACATTATATACACAATGGTATTTATTTCGCTGCAATGTAAAGCTAAGCTA